GCTCCCTTGTCAATTATCGTACCAATGTTCTTTCCTTATTTCCTCTTTTCGCCCCCCTGCATAGTTAAAACTGATTTTCCCTGCATTCTTTTCTCCGAAATCTTTTGTCTCAACTTCTTTTACTTCCTTTCTCACAGAGGTGGTCTGTTCTGCATCCACACGTGACGGTTGGTATTTTAATTTTAGTTTTCGGTCTGTCCATTTAGTGTTCAAACTTTTCATGTCCAGATGCTTATATACTTTTCTCGCCATCGTGTATTCTGAATTGTGTCCAGTCTTTGTTCAAATTTCAATTTACTGATAGCCTCTCTATCTTCGGTAGATGTCCATCCAGCCCATGTCTCCCTGCTCTCCATCATTTGGTGTATTCCCATGTGCCTCCAGTGCCAGTCTGCCCACGCTCCTCTGCCGGGTCTCTAAACTCAACTGGTCCTCAGATTTCACGCATAATACCGCAGAGCCAAAAGAGAACCCTGGTACCGTAACTCCTTTCCATACCCCCCCTGACAACTTCATATCAATTGTAATTCCGTAGTGCCCTATGCTTCATAATTGCTGCATTCCTTTTTCTTTCTTCAGCACATTTTCTTCCTGTTCTAAGTATTGTTTTTCCTCATTCAGCCATACCCCTAGCGTAAAATAGCAGAAAAACACCCACCCCACTTCCACTAAAAACTCAATTCATCTTGACATGAGCGCTTGTCCAGTGTAATTGGGCGCTTAACGTATAATTTGCAGAATTCCCAAATTCAGAACGCCTTAATAGTGGGCGCTTCCGCAGTATTTTACGGTAGGTGTTTATACTTCCCTATGTCTTCTAATGAAACGTCTTGAATTTTCAGCAGGCCCCCCTTCTCGTTATAAACCATTATTCCCAACTTGTCGCTACTGAATTTCAAGCCCAGAGAAGCTCCTTCCTCTCCACAGATCTAAATCTCTTCTGTAATGTATCCCGGCCATCTGCTAACAGCAGAATGTCTTCTGGATAGAACATTCCGGATATAGCTTGATTTACTTTTTTCTCTCTTTCTATATATTCAGTTGATTTCAATTGTTTATTTTTTGGCCTTCCAGCCAACAATGCCCCATACAAGCTGCCAAAGACAGCTTGACAGTGGTCTGGGAAATATATGCTTTGCAATTCTAAAACGCTTTCTTAAGAAACGCAGCAAATATATTCATCTATGTGCCATGTCTGACAGAATTATTGTAAGTGCATCACTAGGAATTTCCTTCCCATACTATATACATCAATATTATTAGTAGCTAAATGGTTAAGTAATGAGGGCAGACGATATGTGATTGACTGATAAGCATAATTAGTGCGGGCTCAGGGTATGATCCATCTTTCCGAAAGGCGCGTGTGATATGACACATCAAAACCAAAATTGCACTCTTCTAATTTCTTTTCCCTTCTACTCGGTTATATCATAAAAAGCGGAGGTGGTAGGGGACAACCCTGCCAGAGTCCTTGTTATTTCTGACTCTTTAAATTTTCATAATTGCCATTAAAACAGACAGAAAAAAAAAGGAATGCATGGCAATTGTTCTTTGCCACCTGCAATTGAGAAGTCACTTCCCACTGACTATGACGGGCTTTCTGGTTCAATTAGAATCATTATAAGCCTCTGCAAAAATGCAAAGGTTCGAGAGAAGGTATGGGTGTCTTTTTGTGTCTGCACCTGAAGACCCGTCCACATTCTTGCCTTTGCTTTTACGACCAAGTTCTTGTGATATCGTACGATGAGAGAACACCCTGGCGTGCTGGCGCCACCTACAAAGTGGCCCTGGAACTACATTTCACTAGAGCGAAGGTTTATTTGCCAGATCAAGTGTATGCACCATATTTTCCGGTGTATAAGACGCACCGCCGAAAATCATGGAAAAGAAGTATCTTATGTATGAGACACATCATTGTATAAGACGCACCCCCACTTTTCGCAAGTTTCTAAGTAAAAAAATTGGCATAAAGACGCATTATTGAAAATTTTGGAAAAAAAAAGTGTGTCTTCTACACCGGAAAATGCGGTACTATTTATGAGAAATGGTTGTTTATAACATTGCCGAAATGTTTTCAAGCCAAGAAAGAATGAACAACGCATGACAAAACTAGGAAATACGAAGAAACTGAAAGTGTTCCCACCCGATAGATGGCCAGTGTGTTCCTCTTTGCGAGAGATTTTAAGAGGTGTTAAAGAATGCGGTCTTTAGCAGTCATAAGTGTGTGAACCAGCGTTTCACAGTACTTTGTGGCAGTTGTTTAGCCAAAACATTTGGAAATGGGTGTCTGGTCTGCCTTTCCCTATGGGATTTATTTAATAAATCCAATAAAATTTAATAAATCCAATAAATCCAAAATAAATGTAATAAAAATGGGTACCTTTTATAAGTTTGAGATACTTTGATCAATTTGATTTTGAGTTTAGAGCAATGATGGGGGCAGTTTCTGTAAGATTGTTTTAATCTGCTTTAGTAATGCTTTTTTTTGTTTTTGTTGCGAGGCTTTGAAGACATATTTTTCAATAAAAAGAGCAAAGATCTCCTTTTAAATTTTTCGCCAAACTAGTTTCCTCTAGATAGAACAAGCATCCCACTTCAGGAGCCAAAAAAAAATGTGTTTGTGATTGTGTGCTTGGAGCACGTGGGGCAAAAGCTCATGCTGCAGTACCTAGGGATTCTGGATTGACTTCCCACCCCTGCCGGTTTCGATCTGGATGCGCATCCTACCAGCGTATGTTTGCGTCATCTCTACTGCATGATGCGTGTTAAAGATACAGGCTAGCAGTCGTACTGCTACAGCCAAATTGCTCATCAGCTGTGGAAACACGCACTGACCCGCTGTCTAAGTATCCCTACACATATTGCTTTTCTGAGATTGAAAGTTGCTAGTTTTCGAAGCGGCAGTTCTTTAATCGAACGAGTAACAGTGCGAGCTCTGAGCAGGAATGCTGTTCTTACTGGGCCCGCACACGATTATAATCTGCGACGGCACACCACTGTCTTCATTATTTATGGTTTTAGGCTTTTGTTTTTCCTTCCAGATCCAATGGGAACTTTTGGTAATATTACTGGGGGAATTTCCTTTGAACAGTTTAACTGCAGTGGGAGCTTTGGTTAGCATATATCGAGGCAGTGAGCTTCTGGTGTTGACAGCTGAAATATTGACACACAACCTCTAATATCTGCATGGCAGGAGATCCCATTATTTTTTTCCTCTCCCAAATTGTGACTCCAATCTACTTTTCTGCACCAGTGTAGGGAGATGTTGCTACAAGGGTCACTATATCCTGTTGCAGGTTAAGAAAGGCTGAAGCACACCTTTTCCAGTTTTACGACTGAACGCTAGTGTAAGAGGTGCGAGAGCAGGCAGGTCGACTTGCCACCCCTCCAGCGTTCGCTCGGCCAAAGTGAAAGGGGTGGAGGGCTTTGTGGGAGGAAATTGTCCTGCTTTCCTTGACCAGCAACGGAGTATAGGGTAGTTTTGAGGCACTCATCACTGATTGAAGATATTTTTCTTCCCACAATTGCACCTTCTTTAAGTATTCTTCCTGACATCGCACAGGCCAGTCCATCCGTCTAAACAAATTCTGGAGGCACTGAGGCCACAGACTATCATGCAATGTAACTAAGTGCCCTTGGTAGGCTGTGACCACATCTTCAGGGGTCGTAAATTTCCGTCCATGCAGCTTTTTCTCCACCATTGAGTATATAAAGAAGTCGCACGATGCGAGGTCTTGTTTGTAGAGTGAATTGGAGATCAGTTCCACAGGAGTGCCTTTGAGTAAGTTGAGCGTCGTGTCGTGGTGCTGTGCAGCTGAATTTCCCTCAAATCGGGTCTCGGTCGCCTCCTGATTCTCTTTTGAGGCTGCTGGCAGGCAAGCGGTGGTGTGCCCTTGTGTGCCAACTGTGGCCATGTGTCCACAGGTTGGGAAGAATGTTGCCTCCATCTTCTTTTCAATACTTTGCCTATTGACCTTCAGAGGTGGGATCTCTCCAGGGAAGATCCTAACGAATGATCGACACTTTATTTCGAGATCGTACGGTAGACTTGGATTTAGTTGTTCCTCATCACTGTGTTGGATACACTCCGAGAGTTGCAACTGTGAAATCTGCGTGTCATCTCTTCGTACCATTCCACCTGTGCCTGCTTTTTAGCTTCCATCGAATTCTGTAGCACCCAGCGAGATTAAATTTTTGTCAGGCAAAGGTGTCTTTGAAGAATCATTGAAAAACTTGGCGTATCAATCTTCAAGTCGTCTTGACAGCACTGGAACTCGAGCGAGGGCTCACAGTGCAATGTCCCCAAAGTATGTTACATCCGTTGCGGCGATTCTGACTTAATTAACTCATCGTCAGAATTGTAAAGCTTCATCACTCAAAAATTTCCTATCTCGACGTCCATGGCCAAGGCCGAAACGAAGGGACGTCTTGTAATCTGTCAAAAGTCCATGTACAACTCTAGGTGGCATTGTCGTGGCTCATAAGGTTTGTGCTAAAAAAAAGATGAGGCTTGATTTTGCCTCCACCTTTTCTGTTTGCCGCATCTCAATACTTTTCTAATGACTCTCAAATATTGAATACGCTTATACTGTAAACTACCGCAGAAACACCCACTTCATTCAAGCTTTCACTATTAATATTTCGCAAACTTGGGAATTCAGCAAACTATGCGTTAAGCGCCCGATTTGACTGGACAAGCGTCCATGCCTTGACTAACCCAATTTTCAGCGAAAGTGGGGTGGGCATTTCCCTGGTATTTTATTGTAGTCTTGCAACTCAAGAAGGTAGGGCGAGGCAAAAGAAGGTTGGGAAGGAGGAAGCAGATGGAACTCTGCTACCTCCTCCACGGCCTTCCTTTTCCTTGCCCTACCTTAGATGTTGTGAGACTGTAATAAAAAAGAAAAACACGCAAGAGTTCTAAGTCACTTTTTTTTTGTTGTAGGCTTTACGATTGACAGTTTCCAGCATGTCTTGTCATTGACTGTATGTCCCTTTTGCAGTGCAGCGTAAGCAGGATGTGGATGCAATCCGGCTCGAGCACCCCACAAAGATTCCCGTAAGTGCCTTCCGTTGCCCTCACTCCGTTTTACCGTAAGTATGGTGTCTGGAATGCGTCTCTGACTGGTTTATTCACTGCATCCTAAGGAGTGGTCCCTCCATTTTCGCCAGACGGTGACGCAGAAGTGTTGCGCCACTGCCGGCCGCAGTCCTCGCGGTGTCGCAATGGCCGCGGTGGTTGTGGGAAGCGCCCATTCTGCTGCAGGCCGCTCTCCATCTTGATGGTCCACAAAAGCCTTGGCAGCCAGTAGTCAAGCCTCCGCGACGATAAGGACGCTCAAACGCTCATACTTCTAGCACCAACCACCAGAATTGTGACATCTGACAGCATGAAACTCTCGCTGCAGCGACGTCTTTTGTGGACCACTTTTGGTTGGCTCCTCAGGACCACCCCAGGACCACTTTTGGTTGGCTCCTCAGGACCGCTTTTGGTTGACTCCTGAGGACCACTTTTGGTTGGCTCCTCAGGACCACTTTTGGTTGACTCCTCAGGACCACCCCAGGACCACTTTTGACGTATGGGCAGGGGGAGGAAGCTAAACATGCCTGTCGGTGTACTCTTACCAGGGACCGTAAGTGTGAGCAAGGGTGAGATTACACAAGCGATTGGCTCGCACTACGTGGGCCACACGCTCTGCAGGCATGCTCAAAGCTTGAGACTCGGTCTTGTAGCTTTGACTTTGTTCTTGTTTATAGTGAAATGGAAGATAGTGTTGACTACCACACCGCTACGAAGGATTCTCGCTCGATGCTTATACCTGGCAAGGCTTCAGTCTCTTAAACCGTGGTACCAGTTACGTGCAGGGACGGTGTGGTACGCCAGCCACGTCGTTTTATGTTCTGACTGTGCTCGCTTGGCCATTTAAAATGCATCATAAATTTTTCTCGATTTTATTTTCTTTATTATAAACTCCCGTAAGGACGCCCTCTCCCAAGAGATCGCCCATCCTGTTTCTCTGGCTAAATATCTGTAACATAAAAATTCCGAAACATCGGCCACCCCCGACTCCCGTTGGACATCAGGCGAGTCTGACGGGAAGTACCGGCACGTCTGACAAGCGAGTTCATAGTGATCTGCGGTATTTGTTTCCATGACATGCAAGTTTGTAGCCTATCCCCGCAATCTTGTCCGCAATCTGCATGCGTGATATCGGTTTCTGTGACAGGCAAGATTCTAGCGGGTTCCCGCGTGTTTTTTGCGTCATAAACCTTGAATCTGCTGCATCCGCGATCTGCGGTATCCGTTCCCGTGAGATGAGAGTTCTCGGCGGGTTTCCGCGAGTCCTTCACACTGAAACGCGAATTCGCTGCTTCGGCCACTTGCAGTATCCTTTCCCATGGCACAGGAGTTTGTAGCAAATTCCCACGTGTTTATCGCATCATGAAACGCGGATTCGCCTTGTCTGCGATCTGTGCTATCAGTTCCCACGTTACGTGGTTTGTAGCCGGTGCCAGTGTATTTATCATTAGTTTTTGATAAAGCTTATTAGTTTTCGATAAAGCTTAGCTGTGGCATTTCTGAAGTTAGCCCAGCCCATGTTTTTCACCATTTATCTCTTCATTTTAGGTGGGCGTCCTTACGGGATTTTACGGTAGTTATTTCCACGTCGAATTGTCACCTCATTTCTGAAATCATGAAAGAGGTTGGTTTGTATCTTGGTGGAAAGATTTGCGCAGAGTTCACAACTAAACATTTATGGCATACCACCTGTCACAATGGCTGGGACGAGAGTACCTACAGCTTGTCTTGTCTGCTAACTCTTTGCCACACTCCACCGTACGAATTGGAGACTTGGACGGATTCCGCCTTGCTGTTGGTGTCGAAGGAATGCGTTTATTGCCTAGATGTCTTGGTGGCCCAAATTGCCCTATTTCTGAAGGTGCCGTCAAAATGCGACAGGTGGGATCTTCGAAAGAGCTGAGTGAAGGCCTCGCACTAGACTTCAGCCGTTCTAGCAGTCCGATTAAAATGTCTCGAAATAACGTGACAAATTTCTGGGAGTAAACTTTACATTTTTGGGAGGATAGAGGTTGGGTAACCATACACAGCGATAGCATTGTTTTCGTCTGAAGCATCAGCCATGGGCTGACTTGGTTCTGCTTGTAGTTCCACAACATTTCATCTTTCGCAATGGGCTGTTTCTTTATTCTGTTTTCAGAGGTTCAGAGGTATTAAAAAGCACAAAAAGACGACGAAGAAAAAACACAAACATGGACAGGTGCTTGTTTGTGTCTTATCTTCGTCCTTGTCTTTTTGCACTTTTTAATACCTTTTAAATCATGATCAAACTACCCTAAGAATTCTACACACTACAGTCACATCTTGATATGACGAATTTGCTTGTGAGATTTGCCAGCTGAACGAAGGAAGAAATATACTAGATAGAGAGAGACAAGGAACATACACGTGCACTCTGCTGGACACACAACCTTTTACTGAATATCTTCTTTTCCTTTGTCGCCTTGCATTTACTGAATAACTTCTTTTCTTTTGTCGACTTTTATTATTGCCTGGATAAAATACTTCTCCCTCGTCTTCATCAGTCCAGCTTAGAAACCTTGCATCCCCAGAGGTAACGTCATCTGTGAGCTCCTTCAGGCTGCTTTACACATCTAGGCAATAATTAAAGTCGATGAAGGAAAAGAAGGTATTCAGTAAATGCGAGTCGACGAAGGAAAAGAAGTTATTCAGTAAATGGTTGTTAGTCGTGCAGAGTGTATGTGTATGGTCCTTGCCTCTCTCTACCTTGTATATTTCTTCCTTTGTTCGGCTGGCAAATCTCACATGAATAACCAACCAGCTTAGCTCCAGGCAATCATAATGAATTTCATAGGGCTAATAAATTTTATTTGTTCTGAAATGTCGCTATAGTGAAGAACTTGTAGATTGGTACTCATAAATGAATTGATAAAAAAAAATGACCTACCTATGCAATGAGATGGCACTCAGTCGTCTACGATCAAAAAGCGTACCATGCAATAGAACACTTCACAAAAAATCTGTAATATTTTTCTGGTACGTGCAGCTGCCTGAATTCTTTACTTGTCACCGACTACAGTTGGTAGTTTATTGTAGAGGATAAAAGCGCTAAAAAACAATGGATAAGTGCAAGAACGACGAACACCACAGAGCGTCGTCACGGCTCTGACTCTGGCATTACAGCAATGGTATGGGAGCATAAAGTAAGACGATAGAGTTTGCACGTTGCCCAGCGCTATCACGAGTATCTCTCCCGCTTTCCATTGTTCGCAATTATCGCGAACTGTGCGGTGAAACAACTAGGCAGGTATCGCCGGTTTAAGTAAAAAGAAAAAAAAATATTGATCCCATTAAAGGGGTCAATATTGATCCCTTTAAAGGGGTCAACTTCAGCAAAATTTGAAATATTCCCGTCGTGTTCAAAAATAGGTTGAATATGATCCACAATATCCGTAAATGACAATCGCACGTTTGTATTTTGAGCCTGGTGGCTGTATTTTTCGTTATAAACGGCCCACTCTGGCAAGCGCTCGGAGAAGGCCCAGCGGAGACCATGTGACATCCAATGCAGTCGTGACGTCGGTCTTCTCGGGACGAGGAAAGCAACGGCGAGGCTGACGTCGAGAGGATGGCCTAGTCGTTCCAGCCACCGAAGCGGCTGCTTTAGTGCGAATTCTGAGTGACGGGTTAATCTTCTATGACCTTGTAAAGGGACAATAGCGACTTCTGGGACACACAAAAGGGATTCTCGGGAAGAGGGGAGTTCCTCCTTGCCCTCTTCTCTCGTCGTGGCCGGAGGCGAGACACTCACCGTCAATAGCTGTCAAGGTTCCTAGAAGGGCATTACAAGCGAGGCGTTAGCGACATCCACCAGGTGCTCTTTGCTAATCGTTTAATTTGTTTTAAAATTCCTTTTCGAGACTTTTTTAACAAGATATTGGTATGTTCGATGTGATACTGCTCCTTTGAACACATAGACCAAAAAATGAGTGGCAAAATTTCGTTGTAGTATCCCTTTAACAAACAAATTTCTAATTTGAATCAGACCGCTGACCAAACGCTCAGTCCGTGCCCCGGCAAAGGGACTTTCTGCGAGGTGGAAGGAAACGAGGAAGAGAAGTGCTTATTCTCACGGATGCAACAATATAATACCGGCAATAGACCTTTTGTGAAATCGCCCAAGCGTTCCGGTCCGCGCGCGAGGAATTGTGGGAGAGATTGTCCCTCGCCTGGCCGCTCTGCCTTGAGATCGCATTGCCTTGTCGCTTGCCTCCTCTTAGTCCTCTGTTTTTTCGATTCCATTACCTATTTCTATCTATTCCAGTGTATTTCTTATTGCTTCTAAGTGTTCCTATTTTCTTCTGTGCGTGATATTTTTGTATATATATATATATATAGTATTTGTGTCTTTATTTCGCCTTTTTCGACGGGAGTGCCAACGGACAACACGCCGCTTCGCGCGTCTTTCCCCGGGTGAGTACTACCGTTGCTACCAATTCCTATCGCGCTGTTAGCTGTTCATTTTGGTTTATTTGACCCGCGTGCGGTTGAGAGGAGCCGTTTATGAACACCCGCGCACATGTCATAGGGGCAGGCAGAGCTCTGAATCAACAATCGCGACGCGAGAGCCGAGTGCGCTGTGATTTGGCCGCCCGCGCTCGCTCCGTTGACTCGCACTGTAGCATGTGCCTTCCAGTGCCGCTTACTTGACCAAGATACAGCACGCCGCCTTGTCGCCGCGAACCACTTGTCCGAATGTTTGCGAAGCTGAGGCATATGCAACACTGCGGCACCTGACAACTGCACGCTGTGGCGCGATCCCTTCGCAAACGCCGACGGCTCAATGTCGCAACTTGACTGCGCCTATGGCATGCCTTCGTAATCTATCTGCTACGCGGTTGTCAGTTGCCAACGCCCTTTTTCAAGTGCAGAGATGGTTTGCCGCAAATCATTTGTCCGAATGCCTGCGAAGCCGTAACACCGTTCGTCATATCCAACTAGCGGTGCCTGACAAACTGCGCGCAGCGGCGCAAGCCCCTTGCAAGCGCCGGTGGCCCAACGTCGCGGCTTGTATGCGCTTATGGTATATATGCCTTCTTAATCTATCTGCTAAGCGGTTGTCAGTTGCAAACACCCTTTTTCAAGTGCAGAGATGTGCTGTCACCCAGGCAGTCACCTTGAAACTCGTAGTTCCTTCGGTAATTTTATTTCTCGAGTCAAGATGTCAGCAACTGACACCCGCCGAGGAGACTGATCATGAGTGCATGCCAAAGGCGCATACAAGCCGCGATTTGAACCGGCGCTTGCTAAAGGCTTGTGCCGCTGCGTGCAGTTGTCAGGCGCCGCAGCGTTGGATATGTCAAACGGTGTTAGGGTTTCACAGGCATTCAGACAAACAATTCGCGACAGCAAAGCGGCGTGCTGTATCTTGGTCAAGTTAAGCGGCACTCGAAGGCATACGCTACAGTGCGAGTCAACGGAGCGAGCGCGGGCGGCCAGCGCACTCGGCTCTTGTGTCGTGGTTATTGATTCAGAGCTCTACCTACCCCTATGACATGTGCGCGGGTGTTCATAAACGGCTCCTCTCGACTGCACGCGGGTCAAATAAACCAAAATGAACAGCTAACAGTGCAATAGGAGTCAGTAGCAAACATAGTACTCACCCGGGGGACGACGCTCGAAGCGGCGTGTTGTCCGTCGGCACTCCCGTCGAGAAAGGCGAAATAAAGACAGAAATACTTTATATATACAAGAAATATTGCGCGCAGAAGAGAATAGGAATTCTCAGAAGCAATAAAAAAATACACTGGAATAGATAAAATAGGTAATGGAATCGAAAAAACAGAGGATTAAGAGGAGGCAAGCGACAAGACAATGCGATCTCAAGGCAGAGCGGCCAGGTGAGGGACAATCTTTTCCAGAATTCCTCGCATGCAGGCCGGGGCACTTTTGAAAATTGCAAATCGTCTATTCGAGAAAAAAAAATTATAATTTGACATGATGAACCACAACCTGCCTCGTTTGTGTTTAGTCAAGCTGCACAATATACTTCAAACACTTCGTATGCATTCAGTTAAGCCCAGTACAATGACAAAGAAAAGAAAAAGAAATTACTAGGCAGGCGAGGGGGCGAAACTGAGCCCAAAGGTGTCGGAGATGACGCGGCCCCTCGCGCCACCGGTCGAGATGGAGAAGATGCAGCGGGCTTGGGTGCTCTCGGTGTTGGACGATACTCGCCCACGAGTGTGCACACAGAATCAGGGTCTTCCTCAAGCCCTAGGTCGGGACCCTCGATGATCCCCTTTGTCCCGACGACGCTACCGTGGCCTTGCCGGACTCGCAGATTCTTGCACCTTAGACCCAGTCTTCGTTCACGCTCTGTTCGACAATTCTTCTCTTGTCTGGTTTTGAGATTCCACTTTCCCATGAGGAAAAACAAAACCACTAACCAATACACAAAGAAACAGAATATAGAACAGCCCTCCCAGCTGGCCATCTCCAGAGCATCCGAAAAAACCCCGCTTCTTCCTTCCCCTCCTTTCAACTACCGTAAAATCCCAAGAGATCGCCCACCTAACCTCGAGAGCAAATTGGGTGAAAATATGGCGCAGGCTAACTTTCGGAGTACATTCAAGAAAAGTTAAACAAATTGCTATTTTGAAGTCATGTGTCTTTTCCAAACTTGTTATGATGGCGAGGAGCAGACTGTACTTCTCAGGTCAGCAACGTTTGCTTATGTCCCGGCAAAGCTAACTAGCCGCATGTACACCGAGGCCATCATTGATCCCAACACCACTATTACTAGGGGTGGGCTATCTATCGGTGTTTAAAAAGATATAGCAAATCAAGCCAAAAATAGGGGTGGGCTATCTTTCGGGGGTGGGGCATCTCTCGCAATTTTACAATAATCCAAAACTTGGGGAGGGGGGGGGGGGGGGGGAAGAATTGAATTTGTGTTTGTGTTTTAGATGCTCGTGCTGAAGAAAAATAGACAATTGAGAGTAAACCCCGCGATCCACTCTCAAACGGAGCGAAGGCGAGAAGACAAAACATTATAATTTTGTGACACCGGACACCTGGCTGTTTCTCTAACATTACATTGCGCACGCACAACCCACAGGTGATCATCGAGCGCTATCCCGGGGAGAAGCAGTTGCCGGTCTTGGACAAAATCAAGTACCTCATCCCCGACCATATCAGCATGGCAGAGCTGGTGAAGATCATCAGGTGGGTTGCAAAGGACCTCTGAATAGGGGCAACGCATCCTGGGTAACCATTCCGAAGTTCTGAATTTTCGTTCACCTACCGAAGGCCTGATTGTACACGAATGCTGCATCAGTGATCAGCTAGGACTCCTGTTCATACAAGTTTCAGCCAAGAGTTTTTTGGAACAGGGTGTTTTAAAAAGAATATTTACAGTTATAATGCAATTAAATGCATTATTCACCCTTGTTGATGTTAGACTGGTGGCAGCTGTAAAAAACCCGTTCGCTCTAATGGTAGAGCGCTCCACCTGTAATGGAGAGGTCCCGGGTTCGACACCCGAAACAGGTGGATTTTTTCGGTCGCTCACCAGCAGGGATGAGCACTATTTCAAATACAAGTATTTAAAATACGTATTTCAAATACTTTGTGTATTTTGCATTTGTATTTAATTACAAATTGGGTAATGTATTTGACGTCTGTATTTAAATACTAAAACGTGGGTATTTCAAATACAATTCTAACTGGATACAATTTTGTGGGCGAAAATACATCCCTCAAATTTATTGTCACTGTCCAAAGCAGGAAGAAAACTATGTTCTGCACTGAATGCGGTGTCTCTCAATCAAGCACAAGCGTTTAGTGACTTTGTGATTACGGTGCTAGTCCAGGGCAAGAATAGTGACGAAATCCAGCCTGATTTCCCTCCATATTTTTGCCTGGAACATCTTAAACACGCAGGTCGTCCAGATTTTGGTAACTGGTGTCAGTTGCAACAATAAAAAATTCTCTAGCCAGTGCTGCGCGTCTTGGTCATCTCGGTTCTTTGTTGGTCTATACCAAAATGTAATCGACAAAAAAAGCTGCTTGAAGCTCTGTACTTTTTTCACCTATTACGTCCAAGCTGATTACATTTTTTTGTGATTATATTTCTATTGCGTTACTAGAGCCTCGCACACTAACTCCCGAGTGTGCGATGCAAAATTAAAATGAGATACCCAGAAACCCGTTGCAGGTGCCCTGAAGTCGCTGACGCAAATTTTGAAAAAAATGTATTTGGAAAAGTATTTGGAGGAGAACAAATACATTTGGTTGTATTTGTATCTTTTATTTAAATACGTTTTTGGAAGTGTAATTAGATTTGTAATTAAATACATTTTTGACGAAGTATTTTGTATTTGTATTTCGATACATATTTGCATGTATTTTGCCCATCCCTGCTCACCAGTCGCCTAGCTGTGTTTGGAGATTTGTGTTTGTTCTTTGTCCATCTTGTTCCTCTTCTCCAGGGATTATTTTCGTCAATATTTACAGGTTCTTTTTTGCCGCAAAAAGAAACTAGGCATCGCCAAACATTTGTTCTCCCCCCAAATGTAGCGCCGGCGATTCGAACCGGATGCCAAAGTTTCAGTACCAGCCGTTATCTTATTAAAGGAGTTATTATTTTTGAAAACTTCCAATGGGAAAATGGCTGCCGACCTTGTGGATACATAGGAGCTGATTGGTGTCAGTTATAGAGAATGGGCCCCATTTTCCCGGTGAAATTTCCAGGAAAAACTTTTCAATGGCGTGACAGTCACTTGTGACACTTTGGCATCTAGTTTGGGCCGCTGACTCCGCATTTGGGTGCAGAATAAGTGTTTGACAATGCGTCATTTATTTTTGAAGGGAAGAAATTCCTGTAGTTTTTTTTTGGGGGGTGGGGACTTTTTGTATTTCTGAGGGGAGGAGAGGGTTATGGGGAGGCTAAACTTTCTTTTTGTTAAATTAGCTATCACTGTGTAGTGCACCCTACAAAAACATACTGAAAGGAAATCTGACAGCCCCAGAAAGGCTGAGAGGCTTTAAACGGTGGATCCCCAATTACACAACCCCAGTTTATGCGACGTCCCGCATTTTACGACAGTTTGAGGTGGGCCCGCCACACGTCCCATATACACAACGTATTTAAAGCGCGGATTTCACGATGCACAGAAGTGCGCACCCTCGTCATGGGCCCTCCAAAGAGGATGCAGAAAGCACTCTTCCCGGCATTTTCTGTACCAGAAGTGGAGGGTTTTTCCGGTTCCAGTCCTCTTTGGGACATTTGTTTTTGCGGGGCGAACGCTACACTCCGCTTCTGCCTTGGACCGGTCCGGACAGTCGACCACACGCTACGCCGGCCGTTGTCGGAGCCTTCGTCGTCGTCATTGTCAATCTCCAGTCTCCCGAAAACTAGAAAGGGAAGGAGAAAGCCACGCCGCTCGCTTAATTCTGTGCTCCTTGGTCTTTGTCAGTACGAGCGAGCTGGCATAATTATTTGTTTCTTTCTTTAATGACGTGCCGCGATCCGTGCAGTCAGACTCGTGCGCCATGCCTTTTGGAAGGCGAGAATCTCGGCGTATTCTCCGCTCACAATTTCTGCGCCTTCCACCGAAGCTTGTGCGCTCTCAAAGGACTGCGTGCCGTGCCTGCGTGAACTCGCAGTGACTTGTGGGCCACGTCGAACACCGATGTACGACCCAGTGTTGAGGACCATCCAAATGGGATACGGCCAATGCCGGCAAAAAACCGTACACTCCTCCAAAAAACGATAATATTGTTGCGTGCGCGTCCATTTTCAGCGAGGACATCGACCAGGCAAACGGCGCGGCTTTCCTTCTTGTGTCTTCGCTGCCGTCTTTTTCCCTTCTTTTCGAGACATTAGGGACCTACAGCCATGGTAGAGGCCTCAGCGACAGGCAGCTGTTCAAAGATGCAAACAAAAAATAACTTTTCTTCGGCAAACAAAAACAACAAAAGTGTGCAAAAGTGATTTAGAACTGGAAAAACAGCTCCACTTGTCGCACAATCGATCCTGTGTCTGGGGAAAACACTTCCTGTTTGGACAGCCCCTAACTCTATGAAGTCGTCAAAAAGGGAAGTTCACGACGCCAATACTTCGGACGAAGGTGACGGCGTCACAGGCACGTAGCTACGTGCGCCGACACACGCGAAAATGGCATGTTTTGTATCACTCGACGGTTTGCATACGTCCACGGCAGCGCTTTTCACTTGCTTCTAGAGGTTGCGTCCCCGAAATAAAATTACCGATCCCTGTTGAGAAATTGAGGCACGGTGAAAATAAGATCTTATCTGCACGCTTGCTGTACCACAACTTGATTTTCTTTTTAGTTATGTACGAGAGATTTATTCTGTTTTTTCACCCAGCGGATTATTTTCTCAGAAGGAATTAATAGAAGTTACGGATATTTTTGTCATGTAGACCGAAGCCCCAAAGTAATAATGATTTGTTTTTTTAATATACGATTTTCAGGCTATACAACCTTTTCGTGCAGACCCGTGACAGTCGTATAATCGGCATTCTGCTTTACTTCCTCGTTTAAAACAGTACCAAAAGAGTTTGGTTTTTCACAGAGCGTTCTAGCCTCCCCTTTTACGGGGCGACTAACAATACTTGTATATGCCTTTCAAATGTCCTTCTACTAAAGTGTACACATTTCAAATGTACAGTCGCCAGCCGATTTTCCGTACTTCGTGGGTGCTCACAAAGCGTCCGAATAAGAAGGCTGTTTGAAAAATTTGCGGATTGCAAAACTTTACTTTATTGAGCCTTAGCGGGCTTAAAATTGTCACTAAGAGTACCTTGTATCATGTTGCGCGTGCGGGTGATCATGTCCGCTTGCATTCGCTTCAGCGTCATCTCCTCACTCGGTGGAAGTATAAGAAAAGGGGGCCATGAGGTCCAAAGCACATATCGACGCAAGGCAAAATTACGAAACCGCGAGACATTTAGGTGCGAAGTTTAGAAGCTGTCAACAGCGCACTCCACACCTAATGGATGGCAATGGGCACAAAAACAGAAAAAGTTGGTTGAAGGTGGAAAATCAACCAATCAAAGAAACCAAGGCGATGATGATGATGTGTAGCAAAAACAAAATGCATAGCTTAGCACGCCTGGCGGTTGGTTCGGCAGCGCTACAATAGTGCTGCCAAACCTATCCAATCCATCTGAAACATTGAGCCAAGCCCCTGGTCAAGCCAGCGAAAAATCCAAGATGGGAGACTCCCTTCAACTATCGGCTGCAGTTACATGAAGTATGGCCAGAGCCTAGGTAGGGTGTTCAGGACATATCCAGAGTCAATAAAATCACCCCATACTGTATGCTGCGACTTTTCTGGCCCTTCTTGCACCATGTGCCGTCAGACATCGGCTACATTAGCTGTTTATTCCACATTAGCTTTTGGTCTTCTCGAGGGTTTTGGTCAACAGTTTTTGCAGCAGCAGCATGAATTTTCTTGCTAATGAAGATCTCGTGGTGCATTCGTGCCAGCAGGCTAAGGATCCCACAGTAGTGCAGCAGTTTACGACTTTCAAGTGAGTCGAAAAACTTGTGTGAACTCCCGCTGTCGTAGCTTTGCTTTGCGTTCATACGTCTCCATCTGATGCGTCTTCTCAGCGTATTTTCAGGGATGATGGAAATGCATTACGTTTGCGAGCTGATTCCCAGACACAGAGATTCTGCACTGCCGATAAGTGAAACACATTGCGCCACTCACAAGTGTTTTCACCGTGGGCCGATGTCGCCCATCACTGACCTAGCACAGTTATGGCCACGTGTTCTGTAGGTATTTGTTTGTGAAGGGCACTATTTTGTTTTCCGTAGCACTGAAAAATGTAACAAGAGCATTGATTGCATCTGAACAGTTGTCATGGTTAAGCTAAGCGGGCGCTTGGTAAACATTCCTACGCTGACATTCTCCACTTGCGTTTGCACTTGGTTTGGTAGTTCCAAACGTGATAATTGTGCATTTTAGTGTTGTCTATTGCGAATCAAATCGGAGTAATGTATGAAGTGCTGCTGTCCCCCCCGACAGCCTCTTGAAAAAGGCCGATATTCGTGTAAACTTGCAATTTTTCGAGCCACTGTGAGTCAGTCAACATATTTTTTTTCCAACTTCTCGTGCAAATATTGTTTTGATTTTTTTACTCGTAAAAGTAGGGTGTACACAAATAATAAAGAAAGTAAAGAAAAAAAAAAAGAAAAGATTTCCAAGATGAACTTGATTTTTCAACTCGCAGGCCTCGAAGGCACTTCATTTGATTGAAGTGCATTACATGGATAGGGGTTGGATTCATTATACAAGATTTTACACTAAGGGTTGTTGAATAACAGTTTGGTTAATTGAGAACAAGAGCCATTTATATGAACATTAAAAAGAAGTAAAAAAGAGAACAGTAAGGATTACACTTTGATTAGTGAAAAACACTTTTGAAGTGTGTTTTGCAAAGGTCACTGAACTTAGCCGTTGTAGTTTCTAGTATGATTCTTTCAAAAAGAGAATTCAAGTTGTTAAAAGGTAGAGAAAGCGGAGGATTTTGAAATTTATGAATTCTCTCGAATTGAGAATTCACCTTGAAGTTGTGGTCGTGGCACAAAGAGATGTGTGATTGTGGTTGACAGTAATGGATTTTAAAAGAAGAGGAATGGTAGGTTTTGTGTAAAAAGACAAGACGAGCAAGTTTAATTCTGTCATTCATTCATGGAGCCAAGACCTCGATCTGATTTTACTGTACAGACGCTTGACGCCCTTGAGTAGTCTTGTGATATGAAACAAAATGGTTTATTTTGGACCAATTTAAGTTTGCTAATGAAATGTGCTTGACAAGGCCACCAAAATAGAGTTAGCACGTTCAACTCTGGGAGCATATAGCTGTTCTATGGAGAGTCATTCTACCACGCATAAATTAAGACATTAAGACAAGGCATGTCAAGAAACTTCATAAATCAGTTTCTTAACATGTCTTGCTAAGGTCTGCCATAGAGGTACTTAAAAGGAAGCTAAACAGCTTTAAAAATAAGATTGATATAATATGATATAAGATGATATAAGATGATATAAATAAGATGACGTGTTTGTGCCTGCTCAGTCCAAATATCAGAACCGTTTGATCCGAAATAATCATTAAACGCGTACAAAGCGAAGAAAGCATAAGCGATCGTCGCAGCGTTTAGCCATTGGCTTGTCACGCGTGACGCACCACAACGTCATAAAAGAACCATCTCGATTCTCGCTTGCCTGGGCACTGAGGCTTCTGCTCTTGTAAATTAGGTTTGCCTTCTGATTTTTCGTAAACTTTCGGTGGATCCGAAAGGAGAACGTGTCCAGAGGACCCTCGACGTGACAAAGTATGACAAAGTATTGGCAAAGCAGAAAAATGACCCCCCACAGTAATACGGGTATACACGAAGAACCGCTTGTGCCGGCCTGACATAGCCAACTTCATACGTTCTGGAATGTACTGACTGCTACTTATTGTAACGTAAAACTTTGACAATAAATGGAGTGCTATTGACGGGACGCGTCAGGCCGAATTAGCGTGACCTTCCCCAAAAAGGTTGTCAGAGGACGAGAATTCGACCTTTATGCTTGGCAGCTGCTGGACACGCGAGTGTGCAGGCTGCATTGTTCACCAAGGCTGAAGTCGATTGAAGGGATAGTATAATCGGCTTTGGGCGACGGGAGAGCTTCCCCCGAGATGAGACAGGTTCGCCATTCTGCCACCGCAATGTCTTGCGTACTGTGGGAATAGCTACGCAGAAGGTCCATCCTTGTGGTAGTGGAACCCTCCGTTGTCTGCTGCGTTTTATTTCTTTTCCACCAATTATTATGCAATTACAGCTTTAGAAAAAGTTTAGATGTGTGCCTGGCAATCCTCAGTGTGATGTCAAATTCGTGAAAGCTTCCTGGTTCTCTGCATCCACACGCTTCTCCCAAGGTCTCTTGACCGCATCAGACCACCACCAAGCATTATCATCGTCCGATCACATTTCTACGGCACAAAGAACCATTGCATGACACACAAACTTTATACGGAATACACTGCGTAACATGTAAGAAAAAGAACTCATTTCACAACAGATTGTCACATGCTTTCTATCTCCAAAAAGCACTCCTGAAGAGAATATGTACCTATGGAAGGAGACTGTAACAAAATTTATGTTTATGTTTAAAAGTATGACGTAAAATAGTATCAGCAACTGTAAAAAAAATTCCATGCTAAAACAACTTGCGCCGTGAAATTCGCGTTCTCTGCATCCACACGCTTCTCCCAAGGTCTCTTGACCGCATCAGACCACCACCAAGCATTATCATCGTCCGATCACATTTCTACGGCACAAAGAACCATTGCATGACACACAAACTTTATACGGAATACACTGCGTAACATGTAAGAAAAAGAACTCATTTCACAACAGATTGTCACATGCTTTCTATCTCCAAAAAGCACTCCTGAAGAGAATATGTACCTATGGAAGGAGACTGTAACAAAATTTATGTTTATGTTTAAAAGTATGACCTAAAATAGTATCAGCAACTGTAAAAAAAATTCCATGCTAAAACAACTTGCGCCGTGAAATTCGCATGATGAATTGCATGACCAGTTATGACAACAACCCTTCCTCTCCCAAGGGACTGGGTAGCGGAGTAGATTAAAAAACAGAAGAAAACAATCTTGGGTAGCGGAGTCAATCCGGTAAATATGGTCACTACATTAATATAAAAAGAAGCCAAAACTAAAACACTAATATATGACAAGTAGCACACAGAAGCCAGTGGAAGCCCGCTATTTGGCTTCATGATCGCGGCTTTTCCAGTACACTGCACGGAACTAATAACGTAATAGCTTTTTTCTAGAGCAGTCAACCTATAATTTCCACCTAGTTTAGTCTCCTCTTTGTGTGTGCCTTTTAATGCTCTGAATTGCCTTCTTACCTTCAAAGATGGTTGTTAGTGCGTCGGGTTCAGGCGCGCCTTCTTCAGGCCAAAACCCATACGTACATTGTTTTCATATGCGCCATCCGGAACGCGTTCTTAACAAAAAACGCTGTACCTGCTCCAACTCATCTGTTTGCATAGTGGGACCTATCCCTTTCAAATCTCGGTGTTGGAGTGAAAAGGACTGTAAGCGAGAAGAAATGTAACGAACGCTGTTCGGGCAAGCAGACGGCTACACATGTGTACGGCATCGTGCAACAGCGCGAGTCAGTTGCTTCGGTGCCAGGGAAATTTGGCAAACCCATGAAGAAACGAGAACAATCAACACGTCAGGCGATTGAGTCAATAGCACGACCGGTGAACGGATAAAAGCAAGCAATATGCAGCGGTAGAACGACGACGGCTCGAAAAGTCAGTAGAGCAGCCTACGAGGGAAGTGCAGCCAGCCGCGGCGGGGTCCTTCAGCCGGACCTTTTGTGACGTCTGCTGACGGGCTTCCTACCCTCCCCCTTTCCCTCTGCTTCGGAGGGGCGTGGCTTCAGTGCTACTGTGGAGGCGCTTTTTCTATTAATCCGCACATAAAATGACCAAACGAATATGATATTCGTGACAGCTGATGTATAATTAACTAGTGTTTCGGGTGTCTTTTCATTAGAACCGCTTCAGCTTCCCCTTAGAGGTGGTGGATCTTGTGTATCAAATATCACCAAACAAACTTAGTTCAAACAGAAAACGAGTTAGAAAGCAAGAACTTGAAATCCCTACCTGTGGTATTCGTCTGCTAATTAAAGGAGTCTGCTTGGCAGACCAGTCAACAGATAGCGACAGCACCTCGTGCCTCTCCACACACCTCTCTGTATTGCTGCATTTCTGTTTTAATTTTTCTCTTTTTGTGTTTATTTTTGTTTTATTGGTAAGTATGAAAGAACCATACGCTGAGAGTCGGTACAAAAAAAAATGTATCGCTTCTGGCACAAAAACATTGTCTGCCGTTGCCGACGTCGAGGGAACCGCTACTTGTGATCGCTGTAAACTAACGTGCTGCCATCTGTTGATTTTTTTGCTCAATCAAACACGTTTAGTTAGCAGACGGACGCTGCTGGTAGGAATTTTGAGTTTTCGATTTCTAACTCTTCGGAAAATGCGTTCTGTAAAGTTGTGATATTCAAGGTCACCTTTAGGCAGCCCTGGTAGATCCTCGTGCTATAGGTTGGAAAACCAATTTATGCAGTCCCTTCAAACAGCCAGCGATCACTTTCGCTCGCGCGGTGTTCACTGCGTCACTGTGACTGCGACGAATGTGTGTGGCATTGTGTCGGCAGGAGGCGTCTGGAACTACACCCGAACCAGGCGCTGTTCCTCCTGGTGAACGAGCGCAATATGGCGCCCGTCTCGGCATCCCTCGGCGACCTGTACGCCCAGGAGAAAGACGAGGACGGGTACCTCTACCTGGTGTATGCGTCTCAGGAGGTGTTCGGCCAGCAACACTGACACGCCGCACCGTCTGCTGCGGCCGACCCGTGCCTTGTCAAAGCGAAGAGGAGAAAGCAGACGACGAGGCCAACAGGATTTTGGACTTTACGGAGCGCAAGCACTTGGGGGGGGGGTCTTTGCATCGTTTCGACCAACAGACATTGCTGCGATGGTGTTGCAAGATGTCTTGCTCGTATTAAATTCACTCCTTGCCAACGCAGTACAATAAAGTTTACGTTTGAGTGGAAACCTATAGTATACATTGACAGGGACACACTTGGGTGCTAGGAAAGCTGCAACTCTACCAGTGATTTACTCTTAGAGTATGATAATGCATTAATCCTATGGCGAAGAGTATCCAAGACCTCTGGAGCATCTAAGGCTATAAGCCTTGAGGATGGCAGCATTGTCGGAAGTTCGCCCGGTTCGGACACTGTGCCAGAAGCAACTCAGATTGGTGTCAGGGTCCCCTTTTTGTCTGGTTCTCTGACTCCGGCACCAATGATGCTGTGGCATGAGAACCATGACACGAACCCGCCCTCGAGGATTCAAACCTCAGTTGGTGTTTTAGCTTACAGAAGATGACTGCAAAAATAAATTGTGCCTAATGTGATCAGCAGCTAAAACTAACGAAAAATAAGGCTTGATTAGCAGTGTGGAGAATAAGTATGAAGCTGATTTAAATCGAACCAGTTTCACTATTCTAATTTAAATCTAACCTTTCCCACGAAACTAATCCCCAAAATATATTTTTATTACCTGTGCATTTGTTTTGTATTTAAATTCAAGAATAATGTAGCAAGAATTATGCAATTCGGAATACAAGAAAAAAAAAAGCTCTCAGGAAATTTAAGCGTTGAGCTCGATTTCTGCCTTCCACTTAGTTCGTCAGCTGCGTAACATCCTGTTGCCACAAAATTGGAACGAAAAAAAAAAAGAAGTAGAAAAATTTAGTTTTAACTAACTAAAGAAATTAATCAGTTTCTGTTCTGGCGGGGGTTACTGCAGTTAGGAGTTGTGTACTTTACATTTATTAGAACTCTTCCGCATTGTTATCACTGATCGGACGAATTGATCAATCAATCTACCATCTTGAAAAATACATCTTTTGGTAAACAATAACTATTTTCTGGCCACAGTGATTGAAATCAAAGTTATCCGATTTAAATCAAATCTAATTCCATTTTTTTCCACCCTGTTGGGCAGTGTGGTATTGCGGGTTTGTGGGCAGGGCTGACAGCTTGGTCTAGCTTTTCACTTGTAATTTGGGAGTCTTCTTTCCCTAAGTATGGTGTTCAGCAGACAACAGTAGAAGCATAGCCTACTATTTACGCCGTGCTACACGCAGAAGATCCTATGCTAGATATTTCCTCCAAAGCACCCTGTGTCAAGCTTTTGAAATGCAAAAATTGGGGTCTCTGTTTCTCTAGCCGCTTGTCATCCTTTAAAAAATGACACTGCTGCTGGCACTGCAGCACCTTATGTATCTCTGGATGTCCATTAAAATATGTCACTATGTGTGCTGTCCGGGGTATGTTATAAAAAAAGAGCACCGCCGTTAATTTTTCATTCAGGCTGAATCGCAGATAGGTGCACAGTATATGGGGGAACATGTTACACACTTTGGAATGCTCAAGATAAGGAAGCAGTGTCCTTCGTTGCTGTGCGACCCTTGACTGCTTTAACAAGCTTGTATGTAAAATGTGCCCTAAACAAGTCACGGGTAATTGAGGTACACTAGAGATGTCTTCTTACAGCTAGCAATCCATGTTTGCTTTCTGCAATGCCAAAGTGCAAGGCCAAGGTGTGATGACATTGCTTCTGCAATAAACAAAGCGGTTTTTAATCTTGTTGCTGTTTTTGTTTCTTTAGTCGTGGTAGAAGGGTAAAAAGGGCAATCTTTGAATAGTGTACGACACCATTTTAATATAATGATATAACACCAAAACAGGACTTCGGAGTACCTTTTCGTGGCTTTGCTGCCTAAAACGTTGCGAGGCCACCTCATCCTTTTTCGGGTGTATTATTTCTAGAAATATATGCACTCGGGAATGTGCCTGCCAGGCTAATATACAAAAAAAAAAAAAAAAAAGTCCCGAAAGTAGTGCATTATGGCGGACCACCCAGCCCCTTGAAACGTACACTCGTGAAACCATATTTCCTTGGAAGTTGTGAACTTGCCAGCACGATTGTGTGTAGCGCACGACGAGCAGTGCCGCTGGCGAAGAAAACCAAATATTAAGGTGCATTTCGGTTTATATTCCTATATTGCCTACAGCACCCAAGGGTCAGATAAGTAATGTCAAAATACAAAACGTTCATACATATAATAACCACATAGTAACGTTAAAAAATAAAACAAACACGGCTAAAGAATTGCACTAAGTTTTTACATAGAAGCAGTAAATAAGCTGTTGTAAAAGGTGTTTCAGAAGACGCAGGCCAAATCGTTCCTGCAAAAACAGCATCGCACAGAAAAAAAGGTCGATGCCTTGTTGGTGTCTGCCCAAGAGCCCATTTAGAAAAAATAATATCTTTTAGAAAGTTTATTAGAAATTAACTTTTTATTCGTTCATTTGAAGGTCTCACCTTGTTCTGGGGCGCTGGGACTAGTCAAGCTGCAGGCCTGCAGCTTTTTTTCCAGCTCCCCTGTCACAAATGTACTGTTTGTGGCAAAATAAACGAATTTGAATTTGAATCGTTTCAATTAGAAACTTACTGGGCATCATCAATAGCCCCTATATCCACCCTTTTAGAGAAGTATAAAGCATGCCGAGCATTTTAGCGTGTTTTGAAAAGCCCTTCAATTCTGACGCGTACTCTGGTTTCGGATTCCTATCCAAAAGCATCTTGGCGGCAGCTGTCTTGCCCTCCGACGGCCGAAGCGCGAAACCAAGGCCAGACAATACGCCAGTCTCGCCCGCCCGCCCTCCTCCCTTCCCTCGTAAAAAACGAAGTGTAGCGCGCGCACGTGGCCATACGATAAGGAACTCCTCGCTGTTCGAAAAAGCGTGGCATCGCAAGATTGAGCTTTGACTTCTGGGCTAGCCTTGATTCCGCGCTTCAGCCGTCGGAGGGCAGGACAGTTGCCGCCAAGGTGCGCTTGGATAAGAATCCTAAACCAGAGTACGCATCAGAATTGGGTTTTTCCAAACATGGTAGAATGCTCGGCATGCTTTATACTTGTCTTAAAAGGGTTGATATAGGGGTTATGGATGATGCGCATAAAGTTTATAATTGGAACTATGGCCTTAAAATGAACAAATAAAAAGTTATTTTCTAAAAAAACAGCGAAAACTTTTTTCCAAACGTTATTTTTTTTCTAAATAGGCTGTCGGGCAGACACCAACACGGCATCAACCTCTTTTCTGTGCGATGCTTAGTTTTCGCAGGAGCGTTTAGGCCTGCATTGTGTTGTGAAAAAAGAATCTACTTTCCAAGTTCGCAGTTTCACTTGGGAAACTATTCTGGCACTCCTAGCGACTAGTGATTTCCATTGCATATGATTTTTTCTTGCAGACACTGCTTCGAAAAGTATAGTTATTTTGTAAAAATCTAGCTGCATAGCTTCGGATTCTTTCAATTCCATCAGGTACTTTTGTGGAGAAGGATCCACTGTACAAAAAAGAAGGTTAGGCGTAGACAATACGCCGGGAGGGCGACCTAAAGGCTAATTCCCTCCTCTCTCTCCTTCAGTTGGGGGCTGTCCCAGACTTTGGTTTAAAGGGAAGCAATTTTGTTTCTTAAAAAAAAAAATACACAAAAAACCTCTCGTTCTTTTATGAATTTATTATTTATTACTAGTTCCTTTGTTTGCAGTTTAATTAGGAGCAACTTAAACCTTGGCTCGCGAGCATATATTATTTTATTCACAAATGCCACTACTTTCCATTGCAAGCTGTCACAAGATGGGTTTCTGTACAAGAAACAAAAAGTGCAATGAAAGGTTCTTTAACGGGACAAACTAAGCAAATTAGCAATAATGAAAGTAATCAAGTGCATTTAAAAACCACATTCACACTTGGAAAACTTTACACGCTATAAGAAAACATCATGTCACCAAACAAATCAAAATAATGCAAACGGAAAGGTCTGACAAACAATATCATCAGTTGAAAGATCGCGTACAATCGAAAAACCCTATTTACACTGCAAACCAGAGGCATAAAACGACATAGACTATAAGCAGACACCAAAAATTTTTGCAAGATATACACTTGAAACAAAACAAAATGAGTGAATACATTTTCTTTTCTTTCGGAGGCCAGAGACAATGTTTCCAAACCTTTATTCAAGTGAGATTGTGTGGTGCGCTTCCTGCTGTTATTGCTTCGTCAAGTGAAGACGTAGGAGCCTGTCTACGCGGGAGCACCCCGCTAAGCCCGATAGTCGCAATACGGCCAAAAGCGCATTAGGGCCGAGACGTGCGGAAGGGCCGGGAGTGGCTCTGAGGCCGAGTAGGACGGACTGGTGCGGCCGCCTTCTTGGGGGTCACGTTGTGGTTGATTTTAGTTGCCACCAAATAAGATAGATGGCGCCACACTGAGCATGACGGAAAGGGCGATCAGTCTGATATTAGGAATTATCGTCCTATAACCGTGACACCGGTTATTTACAGGTTGGTAATGCAGATTATAAAGAACAGACTGGAGGAATGGGTAGATTGCGAGGGCATACTGGGCGAATTACAGAACGGGTTTCGAAAACAAAGAAGGTTGGAGGACAATTTATTTTCTCTAACACAGTGTATAGAAATAGCGCAAAAAGAAAACAGACAGCTCTGGCTGGCATTTCTGGATATCAAGGGTGCCTATGACAATGTGAACCAAAGAAACCTGTGGGACATAATGGAGAACTTAAACCTAGATGAAGGACTAACAGCACTATTAAGGAACATTTACAAAGATAACAAGGTGATTATAACATGGGAAGGAAAGGCGACAGGGAAAATAGAGATAAGACGAGGCCTTAGGCAGGGGTGCCCGTTATCGCCTTTGCTGTTTATGTTGTATCTGAGAGAATTGGAGGATAGACTAGAGAAGAGTGGGCTTGGGTTCAACCTTTCTTACAGTAAGCTAGGCCAAAAAATTCAGCAATCCTTACCGGGATTGATGTATGCGGATGATATTGTACTAATGGCTAACAACAGGACAGAGTTGCAGGAATTAATGAGCATCTGTGGTAGGGAAGGAGAGGAATTAGGTTTAGAATTCAGTAGCGAAAAATCGGCAGTCATGATTTTTAACGAGGATGAAGTTGAGAGGCTGAAGATACAGAATATTACAGTTGAGAGAGCTAGTAAATACAAGTATCTAGGAGTATGGATATGTGATGGTGCAGAATATCTCAGAGACCATGAAAAGTATATAATAGGTAAGGGCAACAGAAATGCAGCTGTAATGAAGAATAGAGCACTTTGGAATTACAACAGGTATGAGGTGGTTAGAGAGATTTGGAAAGGGGTCATGTGCCTGGCTTGACTTTTGGAAACGCAGTGCTATGCATGAAATCCGAAGTGCATGCGAGACTAGAAATAAAACAGCGCGGAGTAGGTAGACTGGCTTTGGGGGCACATTGCAAAACGCCAAACCAGGGAGTACAAGGAGACATGGGATGGGCATCATTTGAGAGCAGGGAAGCGGTGAGCAAGGTAGAATTTGAGGATAGGTTGAGGCAAATGGACGGGGAGCAATGGGCACAAAAGGTTTTCAGCTATTTATACATGAGGAGTGTAGACACAAAGTGGAGACAGCGCACTAGGAAATTAAGAGGAAAGTTTTTGGGCTATAGCGAAGATACGGAAGAGCAAGTCTCAGTTAAGAAGAAAGTTAAGGCCACAGAAAGAGATTGGTGGCTAGAGGGAATGCAGACAAAGACGGCTCTGGAAAGCTATAGATCAAACAAAAGAGTTATTGCCAAAGAAAGCATTTATGACAATTCTAGGGGAAGCTCATTGCTGTTTGAGGCAAGAACGGGTGTTCTGCGAACCAGAACATACAGAGTGAAGTACCAGGAAATTGATACAGTGTGCACTGCTTGTGGAGAGGAGGACGAGACGGCTGAGCACTTGATACTCTACTGTAAAGGGCTTCACCCTATGCCTACCGAAGACAACATAGATTTAATAAAGTCATTGGGTTTTAGAGACAGCGAAGGGAGAGTGGATTTCAAGACTGTAGATTACCAAGCAAAGATTAAGTGAATGGTGGCAGAAATCGAGAGAAAACTAGGTATTTTCTTATCCACTGATGGCAAGGGGGTTTCATAGCCTCACTTTCTTTGCACTGCGGAGTGAATATAGATTTCACATTTAAATATTATAAGCTTAAATGGTAAAACAAAATGGCTAGGTGGCGTAAGCTACCGCCCGATCCAAAGGGCTCAGCCGTATTCATCCATCCTTCATCCATCCGGCTTAAGCGGCTTGTGCCGCAGGCAGCCACCAGTAAGTTAGGCTAGAGTGGTCATTGTTTCCGGATTTTTGGCGGGCTTTTTCTTTTCGGTTGATACGGGGTTTTTGTGAGTTGGACCTAAAGTGCATGGAGTAGTGTCTGTATGGGATAGTTACCGTAAAGTTAGTTAACGCTAGGGTAAGTAGTTAGGCTAGTTTAAGCGGCTTGTGCCGCAGGCAGCCACCAGTAAGTTAGGCTAGAGTGGTCATTGTTTCCGGATTTTTGGCGGTGGTTTTGGCGGGCTTTTTAGCTAGGAGCTAGATGGGTCGACAGGCAAGGAAACCGAAGGGCGACGCCGAACATGTACAATGCGAAAGGTGCTTTCGCTGGTGTTTTTTAGATGAAATGGACTTCGAGAGCCTGGCAGACGCCGAGGAGGCCCGGAGCTTCACGTGCCG